CTTAAGCAAAAGACCCCCTGCCCCGATGTTCTCACCAATTTATGGAATAATATGGGGAGGCGCAGCACCAGGGTGAGAGGGTACAGATGATTGGTTGTTGCTAAGGGATTTAGGGCAGTGATCTAAGATGTTGGGGGACATAAAGAAACCCCCACCCCCACCCACCCCCCGCTCCAAAGTTCACTTAGGAAAATATTATCCAGGGAGGATGCGGCTCAGATATGTGGGAGACTTTCAGGAGTCAAGCAAATCTCTGATATGTGCTGAATCCGGATGGCTTTTGTGATGCGTGCTGAGTTCGGAGGAAGTTCCTTGATACCTGCTGAGACTGGAGGGCAGATAAAGGCCCTAAGGAGTGTTTAGAATTCCAAAAGTCCTGTTAGCACTGCTGACACTAAAAGGTTTCTGGTTAAAGATTTTCCTGGAGGCTGCTAGAACTCTGGCTTCAGATTGACTCACAATAGTGACCCCCTTTGGTTTTCAGAGGCAGTAAATCTTTAAGAATGTAGATTGCCCCTCTTCCTTCCGTGGAGTGGCTGGTGGGCTTGAACCGCAGCCCATTTGACTGGTTAGCAGTCCAGGTCCTTAGGCACTGCGCCACCAGAGCAGTATTCATAAAATAAAGCATAATTCTGTTGCTGATTCCAGCTTGGCTGCCTGGTTTGACTTGTTCGCTCACAGCTTGGAGGGCGGCTGAATTTCCCTCCATACCTTCTTCCTTCCCTCCTGTAATGCACTCACTCGTGATTTCAGGAGTCGAATGAATTCTCCAGCAGGGGAGGCAGAATGCTTTCCCAGCTACCAGTATAATCCTACACCTTCACCATTCCTGAACTGACTGGGGCAGTGGGGTGGGTGCATGTGAGGAGTTGGTCCATGTTTGGGCCCAACAAAAATCCAGCAAGTCAAAGAATATTTTTGGGGGCAGTAGATGGTAACACAGGAAACAAAATCACCAAGCGCTAAGTTATCCTTGAAATCAGCTTGGGTATCCTTGGGTTCATTTTAAAGACAAGTTTCCCCAAGAACGTTGGGACATTTCTGTCTCTGGAAAAGATAGGGGTTCAGGCCAATTCCAAAAGAACCCCTATGTCTCTTTACAACATTCACAAGACTTGGAAACAGTTTTCACCCGGTTGATACTTTGGGCGAGAAAAAATAGCTGAGGGAGAGTGGTCAGCTTCACGTGACCACTTGACATTGGGGCAAGGAAGGAGAGGTGCATAGCGGTCAGAGGCCACCGACCTCTCTTCTCCGCCCTAGCTCAGTGCCCTCCACTTTTGTCCCTCCTTGGGCCCTGTCACCTCTGCCGGTCCTGGCTTTGCTTTTCCTGGTTGGGCAACCAAGCGGGCCTCAGTCCTCGCTTCCTTTGCCTCCTAACGTGGCAGAGGCCAGGAGGAGGAGGCAGCATTGGGAAGTTAGGGCCCTTACCAGTTCCCTCCAAACAAACTGTTGTTATTGTTGTTATGTGCCCTCCAATCGGACCAGACTCATAGTGACCCCTCCTTGGGTTTTCGAGACAGTATCACTACGTAAGTAGATTGCCCCATATTCCTTTCGAGGAATGGCTGGTGAATTTGAACCGCCAGCCTTCTAGTTAGCAGTCAAGCGCCTTAGGCACCATGCTACCAGAGCTCCTCCAAACAAACTAGACCACCCCAAACAGCCAGCTTGGTTTTGATCTGGGCTTTGTTTTGTTTGGATGTCAGTGGCCGCTGGCGGAGGAAGTGGACGGAAGGATCGGCGGAGGCAGGCTTGGCCGATGAGGTTCCTCAGCCCCATGCGCCTCTGGGCTTGGCGGGCACCTGCGGGAATCCTAGGGTGTTGGTTCTGGTGCAGGCGCTTTTGTCCTGGAGCCGGATTCTGCGCTGCGGCCGCAGAGTCCCGGAAAGGAGAAAAAGCGCGTCCCAGCCTACACAGTTCTCCCAGTATCTTTCCTCTTCCCTCTCCAACTTTTTTTATTTAGTTTCTTGGAGTAATCAAATATCGAGGTCAGAGATCTCTGTGCAGAGTGGAGCAATGCTTATATGCATATGATTAAAACTCAACAGTAATCATAGCATTTGTTTAGAATTTAGACCAACAAAATATTTTGGGGGAGAAGTATTTTATCACCAATTTTAATTGGTGGCATATGGTCATTTAACTTTTAATTGGTTTTATTAATTAAATTTCTTTACAGTCAGTGCAGGAGCTCTGGTGGCCTAGTGCCTAAGGCATTTGACTGCTAACCAGCAGGCTGGCGGTTCAAACCCACCAGCTACTCCTCGGAAGAAAGGTTGGACAATCTACTTCCATAGTGACTGCCTCAGAAACCCAAGGAGCGGTTGCTATGACTTGGATCTGACTCCATCACAGTGAGTTTGGTTTGGTTACGGTCAATGCACCCCTTCGTTGGCTATCTGAAAGCCCTTTCATGGCTCCTTCTTTAATACTAGCCTGCAACCAAAGGAAGTGGATCTTAATAGGTAAACAGTTGCCTTACTTGATTGGGAATCATGGCTGAATTTTTTCAAGCAGATGGCTACGCCTTTCTTCTGAGGTGCTCTTGGTGGACCTGAACTTCCAACCTTTCTATTAGGAGCCCAGCACCTTTTAACCATTTGCACCACTCAGGGACTGTTAGTGGTAGTCTCAAAAAACCAAACCCACTGCCATCTATTGGATTCAGATTCACAGGGACCCCCTTTGGGTTTCCAAGGTAGTATTAGGAAATAAATTGCCCAATCTTCCTTCAGCAGAGTGGCTGGTGAGTTTGAACTGCCAATCTTCTGGTTAGCAGTCAAGTGCCCTAGGCACTACTCCACCAGAGCTCCTTTAGTGATCGTTGTTGTTGTTGTTATGTGCCGTGGAGTCAGACCACCTCATAGTGACCCCTCCTTGGGTTTCCAAGACAGTATCACTACGGAAGTAGATTGCCCCATCTTCCTTCCGAGGAGTGGCTGGTAGGTTTGAACCGCCTTCTGCTTAGCAGTGAAATGCCTTAGGCAGTACGCTACCAGAGCTTCTTAGTCGCAGTCTAGGGCTGGGTTATCCTTTGCAAATAAAAATGACCTTGGGATCTGCATTTTTATAATTTGATTGTATAGTGTAGTGCCTAAGGCATTTAACTGCTATACGGAAGGCTGGCATTTCAAACCCACCAGGCACTCCTGGAAGGAAGGTTGGGCAAAACTCTTTAACTTTTTTTAGTTAAACTGATATTCAGTCATAATATTTCTATTTCATTATTATGCATAGATGAGCCAAGTAGAACACTCTAGTTGCATTTATTTTCTTGTACAAAGTTTTTGTTACACCAGACATTAATTGCCTTGGTTTTCATTTTGTTTCTATATTCTTGTCTAATCCATTCCCAAACTCTGTTGGAAGTATAAATCTCTACATTCATTCAGCTGCATCAGGTCAGGTAACCTCTCAGTTCCCTTTGTTTTTCCTGGGCTCATTCCCTCCTGGAGCCTTCTGTGAACTGTTCCAATTTAGACAGGACCCCTCTAGATGGCTGCATAGTCAGTGTGGGAGGAGCTGGCAGTTCTTCAGCATTTTGGCAATTCCCTTAGTTCTTCTTCTATGTTAGATTCTCTACTTCTTATATTTAGCTACACGCTAAGCTTATTCCTTTGTATTTTGTTTTTCTGTTTTTGTTTTTTTAGCATATCCTCTAGTTGTTGTTGTTAGATGCCATCGAGTTAGTTTCAACTCATAGAGACCTTATGTACAACAGAAGGAAACCCTGCCTAGTCCTGTGCCATCATTGGTAGCAATCATTGCCATGCTCTCAAACCCACTGTTGTAGCTACTGTGTCAATCCATCTCATAGAGGGTCTTCCCCTTTTATTGCTGACCCTCTACTTGACCAAGCATGATATCTTTCCTGGTCCCTCCCAATGACCAAAGTATGAGAGACAAAGTTGGGCCTTTCTCACTTCTAAGGTGCCTTCTTGCTGTACTTCTTCCAACACAGATTTGTTCATTCTTCTGGCAGTCCATGGTATATTCGATATTCTTTGCCAACTCCACAAATCAAATGCACTAATTCTTTTGCAGTCTTCTTTATTCATTGTCCAGCTTTCACATGCATGTGTTGTTGCTGTTGTTAGGTGCCGCCGAGTCAGCTCTGACTCATAGTGAACATATGTACACAAAACAAAACACTGCCCAGTTCTGCACCAACCTCACAGTCCTTGCTATGCTTGAGCCCATCATTGCAGCCGCTGTGTCAATCCATCTTGCTGAGGGTCTTCCTCTTTTTCGCTGAATCTCCACTTCACCAAGCATGATATCCTTCTCCAGGGAATGACCCCTTCTGACATGACCAAAGTACGTGAGATGAAGTCTGGTCATTCTCTCTTCCAAGGAGCATTCTGCTGCACTTCTTCCAGGATAGATCTGATGGGTTTTCTTCTGGTGTGATCTGAGTGGCCTATTCCATTGGGGGACCTATCCCCCATCCCATTTCACTATAAGTCACACACACACACACACACACACACAGACCCCCCCAAGCCCCGGCCTTGAGCTTTTCCATTTTTTCTGGAGAGAAAACCTCATTTTCCTTTGCATCTGAGGAGTGAGTGCACAGGATATAAGGCCAGCTGCTGTGTTTGCTAGTGGGTTAAGGGAATTCATAGTCCTGTCATTCAGTGTATAGTTTCATTATCCATCTGATTGCTGGATGGCACCCCTTTCCTCAGCTATGCCTATCTCCCTGAGTCCAGAGTCCCTCTGGTTCAGTGTCTTCAGAGAATAAACTTCCATTCTTTTTCCTGGAGTGAGTGAAAAGCAGTTACCATGGCATAGAAGTAAAGGAAATAAACTTTGCATAAAGGCTTTCAACCACTCCTCCTCTTTCACCCTTCTCAGCAACCACCTTCTAAGCTACTTGTTGCCTATGATTTTTGAGCCTTTCTGGAGTTGTGGCACATAAACTGGCTTGCATCTTGGTTTTCTCCATTGCTAACTTTTATTCCATATCTCTCTAACTTTTCTAAGTCAGTTACCTATCTGTCACTAGTCAGTTTTTTTAGCTTCTGCCCGTTTTTGTGTCCTTGTGTGTTGACGTCATATTTCCCTTTTACTGTCATTCCATGAGGCTTCAAGAGAGAGCAGAGGCAAATGCAAGTGTTTAACCCTCTATGTTTAATTAGAAGAACTTAAAGTATTTTATAGATGGAACAATTAAGGCCCCGGGAGGGCTATGACTTGCCACATGTCATTCAGCAGAATCCAGCTAGAAAACATGTGTCTAGATCCCCAGGCCAGTGTTCTTTGTGAACTATCCAAAAGCTTATGAAAGCAAAAGGAATACAGAAATTTCTAGGTAGTTGGGTGGTGATGGTGGTGAGTGCATAAAGGAAAAGTGCTGGTGGGAGTGGCCTGAATGGAGATGAAGAGAAATGGCCAGAAAAAAATTAAAAAAGGGAGACAATGTAATTATCGTAAATGTAATTTTACTGTATTCAAATACTTTCAAGATATCTATTACCTACACTAGTCTTTCTCTTTGTATATCATTACCTTATTTCAATCCCGACCCACACTATTTCTGTTCTATATTCCATTCTGCTCCAAGATATATAGTAATTTTTAAGTGTGGTTCCACTCAAATGGCCTACATCCTCAATTGTTTCAATGACTCTCCATTCCCTATGGGATAAAATCCAAATCCCCTATTTATTGCAATAATCTTAGTTTCTACACTTGGCAGGGAGAAGCTATGACAAAGAAAAATAGAAGGAATAGATGGGATGAGCTTGACAAAAGAAAGGACAGTAAGTGTTGGTAACAGGGTGAAGAAGTTAAAGGTGACTGACTCCAAGGTGATAAGCTTAGATGACTGGGAGGAGTTAGAACAGGAAAATCAGAGATGCTGATGAGCTTGGTTTTAGCCAGGTAATAATGCAGAGATGCCAGCATGATAGCCAAGTAGCAATGCCCAGAAGACAGGTGAAAATAGGGGATGAAATATATAACCATGAATCACAGCATTTAAGAATTGGTAAATTTATCAGTGCTTCCCAATCCAGTGCTGGAAGAATTAAGAGAACATGACAGCGCCTATGATCATCAAATCAAAAGGCCATATCCTTAGGATGGGGCCATTTTAGTGAGTTTAAGTAGATGAGAAAGAAGAATAAGAAGTTTTGGGATATATTAATATTTCTAATGTATAAAACACTCTTTTTTTTCCTGTCAAAATTGAAAAACATAATTGCTTGATTACCATTTTGATATTGATAACTGTATTAGTTTCCTATGGCTGCTATAACAAATTACAACAAACTTAGTTTCTTAAAACAACACAAATTTATTATCTTAGATTTCTGGATGTCACAAGTCCAAAATCAGTCTTATTGGACTAAAGTCAGGTGTCAACAGCTGACAAATTCTAGAACTTCAAGAAGGGAATCCATTGCCTTGCCTTTTCTAGCTACCAGAGCCTGGATGCATTCCTTGGCTCACGGCCTCTTCCTTCATATTCAAAGCACATCACACCAGCCTCTATTTCCATTATTACATCTTTATCTGACTTTGGCCCTCTTATCTCCCTCTTAAAAAAACGCTTGTGAATATATTGGGCCCGCCTGGATAATACAGGCTAATCTCCCCATCTCCTTAAATTAATCATCACATCTGCAAAGTCCATCTTGCCTTGTAAAGTAATATTCACAGGTCCTGGGAATTAGGCTGTGAGTCAATCTGAAGCCAGAGTTCTAGTAGCCTCCAGGAAAATCTTTAACCAGAAACCTTTTAGTGTCAGCAATACTAACAGGACTTTTGGAATTCTAA